TTAGCTACATGGCTGAAGTTGTGCCCGCAGTGGATAGGGGGGTGCAAGTCGACGCCGCTTACATTGACTTTAAAAAAGCGTTACGTAAGCGACTTAGTGGATAACGACGCCTTGCTAAAAAAGTTAGCGGCAATTGGCTTCACTCCACATTTGTTAAAATTATTTGCCAGCTATATGACAGGTAGAAAGCAGTATGTGGAATATGCCGGCCATACGTCGGACACATATGTAAAAAATCTGGAGTAAGCCAAGGCAGTAATTTAGGGCCACTTCAATTTTTGTTACTGGTTAACGATTTGCCTGAGGTAGTTAAGGAATCTAAGTGCCTTCTTTTTGCTGATGACCTCAAGTTGTATCATGTCGTAGAAACATGGGCAGACTGTGAAAAGCTACAACACGACGTAAACAGAGTAGTGGAATGGAGCAAGAATAGCCATTTACAGTTTAACGCCTCCAAATGTGTAACCATTTCAATTACTAGAAAGTGCAAGCCCATTGTATATAACTATGAAGTGGATGGTTTGCAAATTGTAAGAGTTAAAGAAGTTAAAGATCTAGACGTTCTACTAAATAGTGGATGATAAATAGTGAAGAATTTGCTCCACAGCCAAATCGATACATATTAGCAGCAAATTTAAGGCTATATATTATATACTAGCTGTGCCCGCGGCGTAGCTCGCGTATACAGGTTTTACATAAACAATTTGTCGTTTAGGTAAGAGAATATTAAACGATTTATTTCATTACTGTATCAATAAGTGGTAACTAAATAAATCATTATCATCAAAGTTCTAAGTCGTTTATGATAGAGCTTCTGTGTAAACGACGTGAGAAGTAGGCTTAGCTGGGATGTACACTAAAAGGTTACGGGGGCTACTAACGCGGGAAAAAGCAACATAGAGTTGGTCATGTGCAAAACAGTCAGTACTGAGGTACACTCCTACAACGCGTAAAGTTTGACCTTGCGCTTTATTTACGGTCATCGCATAACACACGCTCACTGTAACTGGGAACTGAACGCGCTTGAAACTGAAAGGAAAGTTACTTCTTAATAGAGGGTTTTTGGGCAGTGCTGCCAGATAAAAAAAAACTAATTCAGCTCTAGGACAACACAAAAAGCGCTAGATTTCATGAAAACAGCGCTTTAAAAAAGCCCTAGATTTCGCACTAAATTAACTACAAACAAAGTTTGTGTTTTTTTATATAATCATAATAAAGAAAACAATATTAAGTTTTTTTTCTGGCAATATTTTTTTGATGTATCAATACTTCGCAGGACATCGACTTATAATTATGGCAATTGCTGTCAACAGTAGTTAGTACTGTACGAACAATAAAAATGTCATTAATTGTTTTAAAGTGCAATGTATTTCGCAACTTAGTTTCAGATGTCAGCATCTGATTGCGGTTGCTACACACGGTTTCTTTGTGTTATAACTTCTAAGTAACTTTTAACTTAGCTCTGCTCTAAGCAACTGACTGAAACTGAATAAAGCAAAATAAATGCGTTGCCAAAACCATGAACAAAAACTTTAATAAAGGGGATTTACCCGCTTATAGTCGTCGGTAAAAAAATCAAGTTGATCATCCTAAAAGGGAAGCCAGGAGATCCATAGCACAGGGTATCCTAGTTTGGACTCGTCTCCCATGCTCTTTGTTTTGTGAAAAAAATATGTTTGAAAAAGATAAACTGCAATGTACTATTTGTGGGAAAAAATAATAAAGGTCATTATTAGTATTATCGGTAATGTAGATTAACAGTGCTGCTATAAAAGAGTTAATAACCCGCTAGTCGCTAAAATATTGAAATGTGTGCTAAATACACCAAAAAGCGCTGGATTAAGCTAGGTGCTAAAATTTCGAAATGCGCGCTATACATTCCAAAAAAGCGCTAAATCTAGTCCCCAAAGCGCTAAAATGGCAGTACTGATTTTGCGTATATTATAAATACAATATCACGACATTTCGTTGCAAAATTTTATTTTTGGTCGGATTCCGTTGTATGGCTTCGATGGATACAAATTTCTTCAGTAAGTCTCAATACGATTAATCGGCGAAAAATCTCAAACAGCAATTCAGAAAAGTTTGTAATTTGTACAACTCCATCTATTACGTCCTTTGTGTGAGAAAACATCCTTTTTAAATCTCTTTTTGTGTTTTAAGTATAAATATATTAATTATTATGGAACGTTTTTTTTTACACACAAATCTTTTTATTACTATTTCTGAGATTTTATGGCGCCATTGAACAAATTCGAACCTACATTTCAAAATAATAATCATTACTTTCGATAGAATTTACCAATTTTAATAAAACAAAGATTAAATGTAACTCGAAGATACGCTTTATGATTTTCTTAACGATTTCTTTGAAAATAAAAGATGTTTACTTTAGACGTGATGCGTTCATATAATAACAGACAAATAGACATACAGACAATTCTAAAATTATAAAATGTTCTTATTTAATTATTTTCAGTTCCCCATAATGATTTTAGCCACCAAAATATATACCTATACAATGTACAGAAAGAGACACAACATGTTATCATCATTTTTATTATATGTATATATTTAAAGAGAGATGGCGCTGCTAACATCAATTCTAAAAATAAAAGAGATTAATTGACGCGATTGATACATTATATAAAACGTAAAAGAACTTATAAATCAGTGCCTGCATAGTAAGCAAAAAATAAAATTTTGACTCTCGCCAAAACCAACGATTTGTTAATAGCTCTTTTAAAATTTGATTTACCATATAGAGTACTCGGCGGTAAAGAATAAATTGAGTTTGCTAACACGTAGTAGGGCAGCGAGTAATATAATAAAGATTAGCAGTAAATATGAAAACTCATCTACAGGAAAAAACCACATTGCAATTGCATTACATTTTCACAACACCACCATCTATCGAAGAAATGGGAAAACTATTGTGCTTCAGATTTAGTTAATAAGGTTAATATATTTTTGTATAATATATTTAATACGTTCTTTAATACTTTTGTTTACTGCGTTTGAGATATACATAATTATATCATTATTTTACATAATTTAACTATGATTTATGATATGATATTAGTTTTAAAATGCACTTGATGGCTCAAACAAAGCCACCGTTGAGCTAATTCGTACCTATACTTCCCTACCCATACTTCAGAATATTTATCATAACTTTTGATGGAATGAACTGATTTTAATGAAATAAAGACTAAATGTAACCCGAAGATACACTTTATAATTTCCTTAACAATTCTTATGATATAAATTAGTACTTTATACGTGATACGTTAACAAACAAACAGACAGACATACAGACAGACAGACAGACAGAAAATTCTAAAAATGGTAGAAATGTATTTAATTACTTATTTTTAGTACCCCTCAATCACTTTTATTACAAAAATATAAAATGTACAGACATCTGCTATTTACAGTTTTATTATATGTATAGATAATTAACAAAGAAACCCGTAAAGACAGACCTCGTAACTCAAACTATCAATTAAAAATTAAAAATGAATTGACTAAATCAAATCAAGAAGTCGCAGCGGTGTTTGAGAAATATTTCACTGATATTCCTATCTTGACAACAGAATCATTGAATACTTCTCCAACTGTCGCCCAGTCATGACTCAAACAGATAGGGAACACATTATCTATTGCTGCAAAAAAGCGTATTTTTGAAACTTGGGCTTCATTCTTCGCACAGTTCATGGCTTCACGAACATTAAGGTAATCATCACTCTGTATAACAACACGTTGGTAAGGAGTAATCTGGAGTGTAACGCCTTAATATGGTCACCGCACGAAAATGGGTATAGTGCAATGCTGGAACGGGTGCAAATAAATTTATAAGATACTTATATATGCGCTATTATGGAATCTACCCTATGTATCTATTAATATACCCAACTTTATTTATTCTGGGTATGGTTGGCTACAACGAGTTGAGGGTAAGACGAGACCTAGCATTTGCCTTATATATTTTGAAAATACTTAGAGGAAAAATATATAATAGTGACATATTGGGACGAATTGGGCTGTGTGTTCCAGACAGACGGGTACGTATGGAAACGGCGGCGGCCGCGGCTGCTGTCTGTGCCGCGAGCCCGTACCAATTTTCTCGATAAGGCGCCTTTAACGCGAACGTTACGCATTCTTAATAGAATGGCTGAAGGCATTGACCTATTCTATTGCACCTTGAGTGAATTTACTAGGGTAGGATTGTTTACAATATGTTACAGTTAATGACCACATTTTTGTTATGTATGATAAGAACTACACTGTCGCATTAGGTTTTTTTCCTGTCATGATAGTTGTTAGTTGAAATAAATAAAAAACAGGTAATTGAGAAAATTGTGTTTGTTCCTATTAATGCAAAACGCCTGGAGAGAGTTAGAAGTACTATGGTAAAAAAACCTTTCATCGCTTTCTTATAAGAATAATGCAAACTATTTATATGGAGAATTATTTATCCTTATAAGCAATGAATTTAAAAAAACATTTACTTCTAAAACATTCTCCTGAAACAGTCGCAATGCATTTAATGAGTGGGCGACAGTAGGAATTCATAAAAGCAGACGAAGGTTTACCATGAAAGATCATATAATCTTTCCAACGCTTTTAAATAATATGTAAAAAATTATTCTAAAATGTTTAAAAGAATTTGCTCCACAGCCAAATCGATACATATTAGCAGCAAATTTAAGGCTATATATTATATATTATATATAATTAACAAAGAAACCCGTAAAGACAAACCTCGTAACTCAAACTATCAATTAAAAATTAACAATGAATTGACTAAATCAAATCAAGAAGTCGCAGCGGTGTTTGAGAAATATTTCACTGATATTCCTATCTTGACAACAGAATCATTGAATACTTCTCCAACTGTCGCCCAGTCATTACTCAAACAGAATGTTAATACCTATTTAAAATAATTTAGATTTGAAAAAGTATTGCCGCAAGATATTGTAAAATACTTCAAAACCATTGATGTAAAGAAGACCGCAGATTTGTGTGGTATTTCCGTTACAGTCCATTATAGATTTAATTGCACCTCATCTTGCTATTATTTTTAATACTTGTATCGATTCTGGTGTGTTTCCTGATTTAATGAAATATAGTAAAGTAATACCTTTATTTAAATCTGGCAGTACATTGGACCCCGCTAATTTTAGACCTATTTCTGTACTACCAACTCTCAGTAAAAAAAAAATAAAAAATAATTTTGGATCAATTGTTAATTTTTTTTAATAAAAACCAATTTAGTTTTACAACGGGTCGCTCGACGTCTGACGCCGATGTTGAGCTTATGAAATATATTTTTAATGCCTGGGAGAATTCACAAGATGCCTTAGGTATTTTCCGTGATCTCTCCAAGGCTTTCGATTGTGTTCATCATGAGACATTAATCAGGAAACTACAACATTACGGTGTAAAACATTTGGCGCTTAGACTAATTACTTCATATTTAAGTAACAGAACTCAAAAAGTCGTGATCAATGGTAAAAGTTCCTCCGGATCGGTAGTATCAATGGGCGTTCCTCAGGGCTCGATTCTTGGTCCATTCATGTTTTTAATCTATATTAATCACTCGCCTTATCTTGTAGAGGAGAATCACGATATAGTATTATTTACTGACGATACCTCTTTCATTTTCAAACTCAAACGGCAGTTAATTAATTCATCATCATCATTACAGCCTTTCATAAGTCCACTGCTGAACATAGGCCTCCCCCAAGGAATGCCACAATCGAAATAAGTACATTGGTTTAACGCCAACAATATGCTCTTAAACGGCAATAAGACAAAGTGTATTAAATTTACAATATTTAATGTAAAAAATTCGAATACCAATGTGCTGTTAAATGGGGAGGAGTTAAGTCTTGTGGATACCACTGTTTTTCTTGGTATTACTATTGACGCGCAACTTCAATGGGGCCCCATATATCTAAATTAGCAAGCAGACTCAGTTCTGCAGCATATGCTGTAAGAAAGTTTAGAAGTCTCACAGATGTTGAGACAACTAGATTAGTGTATTTTAGTTACTTTCATAGCGTAATGTCTTATGGAATTTTGTTATGGGATAATGCGACTAATATTGAAGCTATATTTGTTTTGCGAAAGAGAGCCGTACGGGCGATTTATAAACTAAATTGTGAAGAGTCCCTGAGTCAGAGAAAAATTTAAAGAAATAAACGTATTAACTTTGGCATCGCAATATATTTAAGAGGATGTAATGTATGTGCATAAAAACATAAATAGCTTTAATAAGAATAAGGTTGTACATACTTCGAACACTACGACTAGGAACAAACATAAGCTTGTAATGCCAGTTACTAGACTCCACAGAATCAGTAATTCATTTATGGGGCAATTTAAACGCTTTTACAACAAAATCCCAGAACATATTCAAAGTTTGTCAATAAACAAGTTTAAAAGTTTTATTAATGAAAACTGTACAAAAAGGGTTATTATAATATCAAGGAATACATGAATGAAAATAACCCCTGGGAATAAGGTGATCGCCACCATGGTGGTTCTATGAAAATTAATTTAAAATTGTATAAACAAAATTATTGTTAAGTGAAATTATGTTTTAAAAAAAGTCCCGCTAGGTTTCTTGCTGGTTCTTCCCAGGACAGATGTATTTTCCGAACCAGTGGTAAATAAAAAATGACTTTCAATAAGTATTATGTAATAATCAATATTGAATAAAAATTATTCTATTCTATTCTATTCTATTGCCACCAAGCAGCAGTATGTATCCTAGGCTGAAGGACATCAAGAGCCAGGCTGTAATGCATTACATCTTAGTCCTCACAGGTAACATAGTATCTGTAGCCATTGCTTGAAGTTCGTTGCAGGTGCCCATGGTGCCCATTAGTCACTTACCATCAAGTAGATGGTAAGTTTGTCACTTCAATATTATAAAAAATGATGTTGACAAAGTGAAATATGATAGCCAATAGATTTTATTACATAATTATATATTTAAGTAGTATTCCATATTTATGAAGAATTTTCATATTTTCAGTTGCATGAGAATGAGGGGCCCATAATTGTCTGTTTCACCTGTCATGCAAGACTCATTCGTTGCAAAAGATTACAACAACAGGCTATAGACTCAAATGTGGTTTTGGAGCAGTTGCTTGCAGGAGGATCCATGGTATTATTCATTCCATCCATTAAAACCTATAAAATCCCACTGCTGAACATAGTCTCACTCATACATTGCTTCATAGGAGGGATTTTGCCAAAATTGCCACACTTGGCAAGTTGGCAACCGTAGTTTATATTAGTCTAAGTTGTCATCAGGAAGATGCTGCCGCCCAACCTCTGTTTCTGTTTCCTTCTGTTGCCTCTTAAGACACCCATCCCGTGGATAGGTGTATAGGATAGTGGATATTCTTACATTGTCACTGCACCATCCACTTTTCTATGCTGCTTCCCATTGCTATATGGGAGAATGTTTCTAGTGCAAAGTTAAGTTTGTCCTTCAATCCAACTTACTTTTTTGTTAGAGCAATAGTACTTACTTTTACAAAAATAATTATCAAACTGTTTATACTATTATATATTACCCTATTGTATATAAACAAATCTCAATAAACAAAGATAAATCTTTGTCCATTTACAGCCTTCGTGAATCTGAATCCAAAAGTTGTTGAGACTCGATTCTCGGGATAGATGAACTATGTACATTCTTATTTAAGTTTACACTGAACCCTCACTTTTGTCCGGTGTTTATTATTATTTGAAGTTGTTGTCAGGAAGATGCTGCCCCCCGATCTCCTGTTTCAGTTTCCCTCTGCCCCTTTTTACGACATCTGCGGGATGGCAGGGGGTAGTATGGGTTCTCCTACTCCACCACTATAGTGGCTTTTTCTCTTATTTGAAAAAATTATTTCCTTTTAGTCAATACCAAAACCGCATAAGGTTAGAGATGAGATTAAATTCACACCAATTTATCATATAGATATCTGGCCTGTAGAGTGTGATATAGACAATGATTGCAAGGACGAAATTTTTTGCCTTGATGCCGTTAAAGTTGAGGAAGAGATTTTCGAATATGAGAATTCCAAATTTGAAGAAAATGAGAATCATGAAACAGGTAAGATATACCCCTTTTCTGGATATTATTAAAATAAGGTACAATTTACCTTATGGCAAGTGGTTACTGTAGCCCGTAGACACAAAATAAAGAGGGCTTCATGTGTAATGTACTGATTTACTGATTTGCCTTTGTCGAAATTCAAAGTGCATGTCAAAGGCACTCTTATTAATACATTTAAAAAATATTTTGACCCTGTATAAATGCAGCCAGTACGTAGGTCATTAAGATACACACTGGTAAACAACCAATTATCTTTGCCATCTTCTTAGTGTCAGTACTAGGTAGTGTGACCCCATTTTTGCCTAGAAGTTGATCTATTTGTGCCTGCCCAGATGGTCTCCTCCCTCCTCCTCTTACCTATTTCTGCCGTCAAATAGCAGTGCGTGCACTGCTGTGTTCCATTCTGATGGGTATAGAGTCAGTATAATCACAGGCTGTGGGTCATTCCATCTTAGTCACCAGAGATGAGCGCATTGCATCATTAAATCTTCATCGTTACAGCCTTCACAAGTCCACTGCTGAACATAGGTCTCAGTGGAGGACCGCCCTATACTTCGTCTTCTGGTACGAGGCTGCCACTCGTGAAACTTCCTCATTCATTGCTTCGAGGTATATGGCCGGAATTTCAAATTTCCAAAAATTAATTCAGCATTTGAAACAATGATGTTGAAAGTAAATACAACAGAAGTGAGACGACGGGCCCGTGCTTGTTTTAGGAATCGAGGCAATTATTTTGAGCATTAATAAATAATAGGACCTCATAGGACTAACCTCGGTCTTAATTCAGCATTATGCAGAATGTTTAGACTGTATAATGATATATCTAGGCCTTCTGATTTAGATATTTTCAATAACAATTTAAATAATTTCAGAAGAAAAATGTTACTTTATTTAGAATCTTAATGATGAATGTAAACCCTTTTTAATTTATCATACATACGCAATTTTGCTACTGTAATATTAAATTTTATGATAATTAACTTTTCGCAACATTACTCTGTGTAAGCTGTGGTTGCCTATAACTGGGTGAGCACATTGCATGTTTCTCTCAATGCTTGGATCTTGTTTTTAGTACTTGTGTATCAACTGTCGGTGACCCTTATAAATAAATTAAAAAAAAATAAAAATAAATAAATAGAATTTTTATTAGTGTGCCTAAAAATTTAAATTTTCTACCTCAATCTGGTTTTAAGGGACGTAAGCGCGTAAGTGATACCACAAATGAAAGAGTAATAACCAAGCATGTTTCAAAAAGGTTTGAACAAAAATAGTATCATCCGTATTTTTTTTAACGTAGCGTCAAAAACCTGTTTCTCTAAATCGTAGAAAATTTTCGTGAACTTAGTGTTTGTACAAAACAATGTCTGATGGCACAGATGCTAAGACCTTGTTTCCTTAGATTGCTTACACATTATTTAAATTTAAAAAAAAATATGATTGAATATGAATTGTAAAATTTTTGGTTTTTTCACCTAAAACAATAAAGTATAGTCAGACGACTTTGTCTAACATAATTATGGCCTAAATGATACTTTTCAATCTTACAACTATCCTGTATAATGCTTGTTCCGGTGTGATTCGAAGCAGCGATTATTAGGTTAATGTAATTGTAACATGGTCAGAAGAACGTCATCATTATCATTCGAATTTAGTTTCTCTACCATTCATTCCCTCCAAAAATGCATATGACATACATTACTCAAAGTAATTGGCTAAAATACTTTATATGTATATAGAAACATTACAAGAGTATAATCATGTAAAATATTGTAATTTCTCTATTTCTCCCTGGGTTAACCAATAGGGAATGCCATAAGGCATAAACTCCACCCTGTGTTCACAGTTTGTGGTGTCTTACAAAAATTATAAATAAAATTAAATAAAATGTTTAATTTGTATGTATTTCAGAACCATACATCACACCGACAAATAATTTTTCAAAACTGTCTGAGAGGAAGATTAAATCAAATTCTACTGATTGTAACATAAACGATGTTCGTAAAGGAAACCTCGATTTAGAAAGCCCTACTATTAAATCAAAGCCTAAAGTCAAAAAACATAAACAATCAATTAATAAAAAAGGAAAGCATCCTGCAAACATTATGAAAAAGAAATTTTTGAAACGAAAGAGTGTAAATATGCTTACGAAAAACACGTCAGGGGCATCAACAAAATATATTTTTGGTTGTTATGGTTGTAGCAAAAAATTTTCAACAAAAGACATTCTCGCCAAACACACTTCATACAGTCATAAGACGCAAAAGAACTCAGTCACCACTGCAGTTCAGACACAAGTTGAACACACTCGAGTACCACAACTAACGGAAATATTTAATTGTGATATTTGCGAATTTAAAACATCTCACAAACGTCGCATTTTGGCACATCTTAAAGCGCATGTTGCTGAACAAGTGTACTGTTGTAATAATTGTGATTATAAATGTATTAAAAAAGATCGTTTGCAGAGACATATGAAAATACACACTGGAGAAAAACCTTTTTCATGTAATATCTGTGAATATAAATGTATTAGAAAAGATGTGTTGCAAACACATATGAAAATACATACTGGAGAAAAACCTTTTTCGTGTCATATCTGTGAATATAAATGTATTAAAAAAAGTGATTTGCATAGGCATATGAAAATACATACTGGAGAAAAACCTTTTTCGTGTCATATCTGTGGATATAAATGTATTAATAAAAGTAGTTTGCAAAGGCATATGAAAATACATACTGGAGAAAAACCTTTTTCGTGTCATATCTGTAAATATCAATGTACTCAAAAAAGTCATTTGCAATCACATATGAAAATACATACTGGAGAAAAACCTTTTTCATGTAATATCTGTGAATATAAATGTATTAGAAAAGATGTGTTGCAAACACATATGAAAATACATACTGGAGAAAAACCTTTTTCGTGTCATATCTGTAAATATCAATGTATTAAAAAAAGTCATTTGCAATCACATATGACAATACATACTGGAGAAAAACCTTATTCGTGTCATATCTGTAAATATCAATGTATTCAAAAAAGTAATTTGCAATCACATATGAAAATACATACTGGAGAAAAACCTTTTTCATGTAATATCTGTGAATATAAATGTATTAGAAAAGATGTGTTGCAAACACATATGAAAATACATACTGGAGAAAAACCTTTTTCGTGTCATATCTGTAAATATCAATGTATTCAAAAAAGTCATTTGCAATCACATATGAAAATACATACTGGAGAAAAACCTTTTTCGTGTAATATCTGCAAATATAAATGTATTACAAAAAGTAATTTGCAATTACATATGAAAACACATACTGGAGAAAAACCTTTTTCGTGTAATATCTGCAAATATAAATGTATTACAAAAAGTAATTTGCAATCACATATGAAAATACATACAGGAGAAAAACCTTTTTCGTGTAATATCTGTAAATATAAATGTATTATAAAAAGTAATTTGCAATCACATATGAAAATACATACTGGAGAAAAACCTTTTTCGTGTAATATCTGCAAATATAAATGTATTACAAAAAGTAATTTGCAATCACATATGAAAATACATACTGGAGAAAAACCTTTTTCGTGTAATATCTGCAAATATAAATGTATTATAAAAAGTAATTTGCAATCACATATGAAAATACATACTGGAGAAAAACCTTTTTCGTGTAATATCTGCAAATATAAATGTATTACAAAAAGTAATTTGCAATCACATATGAAAATACATACTGGAGAAAAACCTTTTTCGTGTAATATCTGTAAATATAAATGTATTACAAAAAGTAGTTTGAAAACACATATGAAAACACACACTTGAGCAGAACCTTTTTTGTGAGAGATCTGGTAAAATATGTGCAATATTATGTAAACGTGTTGTATATAAATATAAAAGTATACTAGATAAAAATCCATTTGTCATGAATTCCTTATGTAACTGTAGAACGAGTAGAAAAACCTTTCCGTGTCATATGTGCTAATTGAAACTGCATTTATTCTGAAGAAGCTTATTCAAAAACCAAAGAAGCAACCAAGTGAAATCGAACCTTGAAATATGTACCGAGTGGTTAGTGGAAACAAACTAGACTTCATGTTTTTTTCTTTAATTTTATTTAAATCATACTAGTTTGTTTTTATTTATTCGTTTCGACATTTATCGTTACCGTTACAGCCTATAAAAGTCCACTGCTGAACATAGGCCTCCCCCACGGATTGACTCATAGGGGGGATATTTGCCATAGTTGCCATGCATGTTGGGTTGGCAACCGCGGCTTTTCATTTTTATTTGTTATTAGGAAGATGCTGCTGCCCATCTCCTGGTTTATTTCTTCCGTCGCCTAGATATAATATAGATATAGATATAAGAATATCCACTACCCCTTATCATCCCGTGTGTGTCTTAGAGGCGACAGAAAGAAACAAATCAGAAGACGTGCAGCACCGTATACCTAAGAAAATAAAAAAAAACTGTGTTGCCAACCCGCTTGCCAAGCGTGGCAACTATGGCAAATATCCCCCCCTATGAGGCAATCTATGGATGAGGCCTATGTTCAGCATCAGCAGTTGACTTTAATAGGCTCTAACAAGAACACAATAAACGTCGAAACGAAAAAAAGATAAACATTAGCAATCAATTACATAAAAAAAAAACATGGTCTGGTCTGTTTCCACTAACCTCCCATTTGTTTCATATTTGAAAGTTTATTTTTTTTGGTTTTTGAATCAGCTTCTTCAGAATAAATGCAGTTTCAATTAGCACATAAGGCACGTAAAGGTTTTTTTACTCGGTTTATTATTCCGTACAAGATGGCTTTTGTAGTCGAGTTATTAATACATTTCATATTTACACTGTAAAATGTCCAGACTGAATTCGGAGTGAAACTGAAACATTAAACTCCTGTCGTGGCAGCTAACTATAAATTAAAGTGAAAGACATTTGGGTGAATCAACTTTTAAGACACTCCTTTGACAATATTTTGCAACAATAAATATAAAAAATAAAATAACGAAAACTTATAGAATAGAATAGAATAGAATAGAATGATTTTTATTCAATATGGATTATTACATAATACTTATTGAAAGTCATTATTTTATTTACCACTGGTTCGGAAAATACCTCTGTCCTGGGAAGAACCAGCAAGAAACCCAGCGGGACTTTTTTTTTTTAAACATAATTTCACTTAACAATAATTTTGATTATACAATTTTAAATGAATTTTCATAGAACCAGCATAGTGGCGATCACCTTATTCCCAGGGGTTATTTTCACTCATGTATTCCTTGATATTATAATAACCCTTTTTGTACAGTTTTTCTTTAATAAAACTTTTAAACTTGTTTATTGACAAACTTTGAACATGTTCTGGGATTCTGTTGTAAAAGCGTATACATTGCCCCATAAATGAATTACTAATTCTGTGGAGTCTTGTAAGTGGCATTACAAGCTTATGTTTGTTCCTAGTGTTTAAGGTATGAACATCCTTATTCTTATTAAAGCTATTTATGTTTTTATGTACATACATTACATTTTCATAAATATATTGCGATGCCAAAGTTAATATGTTTATTTCTTTAAATTTTTCTCTAAGGGACTCTTTACAATTTAGATTATAAATCGCCCGTACGGCTCTCTTTTGCAAAACAAATATAGCTTCAATATCAGTCGCATTACCCCATAGCAAAATTCCATAAGACATTACGCTATGAAAGTAACTAAAATACACTAACCTAGCTGTCTCAACATCTGTGAGACTTCTAATCTTTCTTACAGCATATGCTGCAGAACTAAGTCTGCTTGCTAATTTAGATATATGGGGGCCCCATTGAAGTTTCGCGTCAATAGTAATACCGAGAAAAACAGTGGTATCCACAAGACTCAACTCCTCCCCATTTAAGAGCACATTGGTATTCGAATGTTTTACATTAGGTATTGTAAATTTAATACATTTTGTCTTATTGCCGTTTAAGAGCAAATTGTTGGCGTTAAACCAATGTTATAAAAATGCAGTGCTATATGTTATATAATTTACCTTATTTTTAGATTCCGTAGTTGCCCACAACATATAAGTTAGAACTTAATAATTTTTTTTGGAAAATCTGGTGTCCATGTCATATAACTATCCCCTGAGTTACATTTTTGAAAGTATCGTATTTTGAAATAAAACTATAAATATTGGAAAACTAATATAGTAAATATTTATTTCAACTTAAAATGCAGTCTTCTAAATAATCAATCTTAATTTAAAATAATAGTAACATTAAAAAGAGACAGTTAACAGTCCACCGCGTTACTTTGTTCATTATTAAATGCTGAACTTTAAGGTAAATCGCTATGTAATGTAAACAGTCATACATTACATATTTCTAAGTTGAAATCAAGCCCTGAGGTCTGCTAATGGAAAGTAGTTAATAATATAATTGTTATGGCATACGGCTACTCCCATAAAGGTCAAATCCTCAGGGGCCCATTCAGCTGAGTTTCGACGAGCAGACGTAGGTCGGGCCTCCTAAGGCCAAAGTGGAAAATCTCTAGTTACACTAAACAATAAGGGGGAGCGTTCTGTGGTACGGCCATTCAACAGGGAGAATATTAGACGGAGCTTACTTACCTATATCCAAGGCGACTGGTCCCTCCGGAGTCGGTCAGGTCGCATGTGGTTGTGTAGTGCAAGGGAAATAAGGTGCTGTCATGTGTATCTGGGTGTGACTGATGGTGATTGACCTTAGTAGACCTTGGCCGTCGGCAGCCGCCCGGGCGTCAGCACCGCTCCAAATTGAGGTAATCTTCCGCGGCGCCGTCCACAGTCACTTTCTTCGTTCGTCACGATGACAGTCCATTAACTCTATCGTACTGTTACGCGCCACTATTAATGTCTTGTACATGGCAACACTAGTTACACTAGCGCCCTCTAGTGTCGAGTAAAAGAAAGTGTTGCGCGCCACTATTAATGTCTTGTACATGGCAACACTAGTTACACTAGCGCCCTCTAGTGTCGAGTAGCAGAATTAGGAGAGTCGAGATCCTTCCAGAAATTTCGGGACCAATATGTACTCGAACATTCTAGATGTCGCTACAGTGGAAGGTTCTGGAAACTGTCTGAGGCCCTATATAAAGCCGGTATGGACCACGACCAGGGCAGTATTTAATTGGCGATACAAGAGAATACTTCGAAGCGAAATAACGGCGAACTGTGTTTTATTATTAGTGTGATTTTAGATTGTAATTAGTGTTGTGTAATTAAAGTGTCAATTTTTGTAATTCAATCGAATTTCAAATCAGTTTTTAACTGTCTCGAACCCCAAGCTCGTAACAATTGGTGTCAGAAGTGGGATCAAATATGCCGATTTTACCTAAAGACGACACGGAGGGTATCCGTACCCGAAGTCAACGCCAACAGGAGACGGACCAGAGACGATTTGGTAATGCAACGCCGCAAACGTCGGAGGGGCAGCTGCTAACCACGGAGGCCGGCCCGTCAGCAGCTCCTGCATCTGCAGCACCTGACTTAGGTGCTCTGATGATGATGCTGCAGGATCAGGCTCACCAACAGGAGGAACAGGCTCGCCGACAGGAGGAACAAGCTCGCCGACAGGAGGAACAGGCCCGCCGACAGGAGGAACAGACCCGTCGGTTGGAAGAGCAGCTGCAGCGCGGTATGGAAGAACAGATGCTCCTCAGAAAGGACCTTCACGCTACCTTCGGGAAAGAGCTAAAGGAGGTGAAGGATAGGGTTGCTCAACATGACAACCGCCTGTCGGAAGCTGAAACCCGAATCGACCAAGTGAACAATCGGGTTGACAACGTGATGGCTGATGTGAAGAAAACGCTGGACGACCTCAAACTTGGGGATGGAATTACAGTTCCCGTGGTAGCTACAACACCTTCGCTACGTGGATTCAAAGTGCCGCCGTTCGACGGGAGTTCTTCCTGGTGGGCCTACAAAATCCAGTTCGAGGCTGTCATGAAAGCGAACGGCTGGAATAAAAGTCAGGCCATGACTGCTCTCACCCTAGGCCTACGCGACCAGGCCTTAACTGTTCTGGAAGCTCTCGGTACGGAAGTAACTTACGAGCAGCTCCTTGAGGCATTGGAGGCGAGATATGGCGATGCTCACCTGGAACACGTCTTTCGTGCGCAGCTCAAAGATCGCGTGCAACGCAGTAACGAAAACCTGCAGCAGTGGGCCCTTGAGGTGGAGAAGCTGGTTCGAAAAGCGTACCAGTCTGTACCTGCGCTCATTGTAGGGAACTTGGTGCAGACATTCATCGACGGCATCCGCGACCTTGAAGTCAGAGCTGCTGTGAGGCTCCGGCACCACGAGACGCTTAAGGACGCCTTGACCCATGCACTGGAGGTGGAAGCCGTGCGGCAGGATCATCGTTCCCACCGCGTCAGGGAGGTTGCAGCAGCTACAGTTCAGGACCGTAATAAGGGCTACAGCCCTAGGTGCTACGGCTGTGGGGAAAGGGGCCATCTTCGATCCAGCTGCCCTAAACGAACTGTAGAAAGGGAAGGTGATCGCTCTCGAGAGGGTAGTGCGGATAATAGCACCGCCCAGCAGCAGCAGGGAAACGAGTAAAAGCCAGGACTGCGGGGCGGGTGCTGGCTGATGTTAAAAGAGCCCCAAGGATTTCGATCTCACAAACCCATGATGGGAACAGCCTAATCATCAAGGGCGAAGTCAACGGAACGCCGTGTAAACTGACCATAGACACTGGAGCCTCTCGCACGGTTGTCAGTTCCCAACTTATAAGTCGGTTCCTTGGGGACTCCGCATACAACCGAGAACGCATTAATTTGGTGACAGCCACCGGTCAGCGCATACCCGTCCGTGGAGAGAAGGAGATGGAGTTGAAGCTAGGCAACATGATCTACCTGCATAATGTCATCGTGGCTGATA